AATGGTGATGGTGGTTGCATGGGAGGACCTGGAGGTGCACTAATGGTAGAACCTCCCAAAACAGAACGCATGGTTTGAGCCTGAGGTGGAACCCTGGCTGAAGCCATTGTTGGTGGAGGTCCAACAGGAGGTTGTGTGAGGCTGGCAGCAGAAGGAAATCGAGGTGCACCTGCCAAAGCTCCTGAACCAATCATTGGTGGCCCATTTGTCAAATGGCCACCTGGCATGCTAGATGGAGGTGCAGTTGGACTGCCAGACAAAGGTGACGATGACAGAAAAGGACTAGGGCGAACACCCTGTGGGGGTGGAACTCCACCACTAGCCACACCTAATGAAGGGAAGCCACTAGAAGGTGCCCGAGAAGAGGGAACAACAGAACCACCCATTGAAGGAGGCAAAGACCCTTGAGAAGGTCTGGGCCCAAAGGGATGTGGCTGACTAAAAGGTGGACCAGTTGGTCTTACTTGGGGTACATTAGGTGGTAACGTGGATTGTGGAGGTCCTGTAGGGGTCATTGCAGGTCTTCCCATCATAGCTGGTGGTGGGCCTGGTCGGGACATTGGCGGGGACACACCAGGAAACCCACTGGAAGGAGCTGATTGTGAGAAGGGTGTTTGTTGGCCAAAAGGGGATGGCCTAGGACCAGAATTGGGCAATAAAGGGGCGCGATTTAGGTTCAAATTTTGCATGTTATCAGCTAATGAAGCAGGATTGCTTTGGAAATTGGGATTATAATTACGTGGAGGTGGTGGTGACTGCATATTGGTGCCAGGTCTAGGTGCCCCTGGAGGCACTGGAGCAGCCATAATTTGATCAAACAATACTCTAAACTCACTCTCTTACTTCTCTGACGAAATCTACGCATTAAACAAGTGAACAAAAACATATAAATTACCTCATAAACGAAGCTAACAGACTTGGATCAGAACAAATTTAATAAAAAGATACGAACATTGAACAGGTGAAAGGAGCATACCTGAGATCGGAGAGCAGCTCGGATCTATCAAATGAAAGGATAACAATAAAGCGCTTTGTTCAGATCTGAAGCACAGTGATTATCGATTAGGGTTTGAAAGACACAAACGAATAGACAATTTAGGGTTTTGGGATCGGAGGAGGAACAGAGTCGGAGGAGGAGGTGTTAGGGGCGGGCAGCCGTTTCGACGTTGGAAGAGTGTTGTGTAATGTCAATCTCAAACTGTATATATATATATAGTTGTAATGAACTTGACACGTTGAAGTGAAAGCAATTCCCTGACAATATCGTCAACAAATTCTTACAACATTATTCTACATGACCCAATGCTTGTATTTACTATATCTATATCTTAGTATTTAGAACATGTTTGATACAGGTTTCAAATGTTTTAATTTTTTTAATATTATTTATATTTTATAAATTTAATTTTTTTTTAAAAATTTTATATTTTTTAATTTTTTTAACTTTAAAAAATAATTTTTAAAAAATTTCAAAGTTTTACTTTTTTAAAACTTCTTTTTTATTCATCTTTGACTATTTTAAAAACAATTTTTAAATTTTTCCTCCAATAAAAATTGAGCTTATAAAACATGAATAGTATCAAAAAAACTCAAACACTTACAAGTTTCACCAAATATATTATTTAGGAATTGTTTTAATGAAAGTAACTTAATTTTTTTAAATAAAATTTAAAATTAAA